TTAGTTGTGTGTGTGGGGGGGGGGGGGTAGTGGAAGCAGCATTTGGTGAGAGGACACATCCATCTCAAGCAGGGAATACTCTACCCAAGTAAAAATTGTTTTTTCAGAAAAGTTTTGTCAAGAGAACTTCCTGGTGCTTGTTGCTATAGTGATGCAAGGGTGGATAGAATGTGAACGCTGCTCAACCTCTATGGGGTCAACAAACCATATAAATTAAATGATGGCTAGAGTAGCATGTCAAGCCTTACAGTATGGGTGAATACTTACGTGAAATACATACAAGAATATGCAGGTTCAAGTATAAATCAAAACCCATCTGATTAGTCACAAACACTGGGGATTGTCTGGTTCTTAGTGTTGGGGGTGGCTTATGTTACTGTTCCAAGTTGGTCTCATACCAATGAGATTACACTGATATGAACCTCATATCAACCTTACCAGTGAGTACTCTGGAAGATAGGGTTCTCCTACTCCACTAGAAGAAATTGGTAGGGGAGGAATTATTGTAGAGGAGAACACCTGAGAGGTACACAGATTGAATTGGAATCATCTGCATAAGGTCCCACTTTGATAGTGTTTGCAATGGGTTACTGCAAATAAAGACTGAAAGAACTGTCTGATTAAGTGTGTGTGGGTGTTGTCACTCCATCTTCTTCTTTTTGTTGTTGTTATACTATTCAAGCAGGCTTTTGGAAAATCCTATCTTAACATTAGGCACTAATTAGGAGCAGATGGACTGAACACAATTTATTTTAACCTACACTGAAAATCCTGTATCCACCCCTGGCAGCCTCAGTGACATTGGCAGTATCACAATATTTATCACAAACTATACATAAATCTCTCACAAACCATAGATTTACAAGCCAATCCTGATTCAAATGATGCCCATTTTCACACTGCTTAATTAGGCTTGTAACCATTAGATTTTAGTGTAGCTTGTTTAAAACCTTACATTGATATGACATTTTTTACATTTAAGAAATTAAAATAATGACATCATAAATTATGCAATCTCAATTCACAATTAGCATTACTAGAAGATTTCCTTCTTTGTAATGTTGACTGCGTATGAACTTTATGTAAGGTACAGTTCAGTGCAATAATGCAACAGCTTTATTAAGCATCAATTTTACCAACTTTTCAGGAGATAAAGCTTTCTATTACCAATATTACCAATATGTTCATACAGTGGCCAATAACAGATGTACAAACATCAGTATCAGTTTGTAACAAAGATTTTATTTTTCAAGGTAAATATTTAACATAATCATTAATAACAAAAACAACAAATATTTTTTTCTTTTTTACAATGTAGTGGGGGTAATAGACGGAAACTGTCTTTAGCTCTTGCCCTGATTGGAACACCAAAGGTAGCCTTTTTAGATGAACCAACTTCAGGAGTAGATCCAGTTGCTAGAAGGAAAATATGGACTGCTTTAGAAACAATCAGAGCTTCCAGTGGAATGGCCGTAGTTCTTACAACTCATAGGTTTGATTATTTTGTATCAGTAGATGATAATAAGTATTTAATTGTAAAATAGTACTAACAGTAGCAAGTAAGATTTGGGAATTAAAACATCTTAAAAGACATATCACTAAAACACAACTAAAATCCTTAATGATCCCTTAAAAATATAATAACCATAAGAAAAAAGATGAACAAATAACAGAGAAATGTAAGATTTCCTTCTTTTATTTTTTGTTTGTTTTTTTAAGCATATTTTAAGCTTTTTTTTTCGCTGCCTGGTGTTTCATTTTGTTATGTATGTACTATATAACAAAAATTACCTTCTTAATTCTTTTACCTTTACACATTTTTTGAGTTTTAGAAGTTTTCTGCTTTTGTTGAGTTAAACTGCTGAATAAGTAATTTTTTATACTTAGTAGCGTTTTTTCTTTCTTTAATAAGCAGCTTTATTTAAATTGATGTAGACAAAGAATTTATGACTGTGAATGTTATGAAAATCACTATCATGAATTTGGAGTGTCAGGTGCTGAAGGTAATAACTTAGTTCATCTGTAGTTTATTGTTTTTAAACTTGTATTTTTATCAAATATTATATGTATCTCATTTCTTTATAGCATGGAGGAATGTGAAGCACTTTGTTCCAGACTAGCTATAATGGTCAATGGTCAGTTTAGATGTCTGGGAGGAATACAATACTTGAAGTCAAAGTTTGGCCAGGGTTCAACTCTGATTGTTAAACTGGAGAGAGAGAAAGCTCTGGACAGTAATGTAATATCGTATGTGCAAGAATTTGTTCGAGAGAAGTTTCCAGGATCTGTTCTGAAGGATATTCATCAGGTTAGCTACAAATGTTTTCACTGAAACAATATTTAAGAAGCTTTGATAAAATGGTAAATACAGTATTAGTAGAACACAAATAATTATTCTGTTGCAAAATCAATTATAAACTTACATTTGAATTATTTCACAAACTATTTGTGTTCACTGGACAGTGAAATGTGAAACAATATGTTGATAAGCTTAGTAAAAAGTCACTTTTTATTTTATCTTGTAGTATATCATACCTGTTCTTTGGTACTTTTGAAAGAAGAAATATGTGCAAATTCTTAAAACCTTCCCAGTGATTATTGATGATTTCCTAGAAAAGTGAGCTCTATCAGCAGCCCGGGAACACTTTTATAGTGGGGGCACTGTAACCATGTGACAAAATTGTAAACCCTGTATACAATGGAAGCAATGTATTCAGTTATTATTATTATTGTGTTAAAATGTGTTAATAATACCAGTAGGTTTGCAGCACCCCTATACTTCAAGCCATGGGGTAGAGTACTACAACAACACCAGTTTCCACACCCTTGAGAAACCTTCTGTATTTATATGCAATTCTGTATCTTTCATATTAAAACCAAGTTTAAACTTTAAAAAAAGTTAATAATTTGAAGGTTTAAGATTTTTTTCCCCAATCCTACATACTGTATATAACTATAACATGCTATAAAAGTTAATTAAGTGTGCAATTATTTGAAATTCATTACTCCATGCTAATAATAATATACACAGTGTGGTCACAAGTAAATAGACACCACCTTTTCAGAAAAAATTAAATTTTTCATTCATATTCACATGAATTGATATATTTATAATTTAATTAATATCTAGTAGATCTTCCTTTCACTTCGTGGAGTTCGTTGATCCTTTGGGGCATTGTGAGAATCATCTCGTCAATTTTAGATTGTGGGATTTTCGCTCACTCTTGCTTCAAAATTTGGAGTAGATCACTTTTCGAAGTTGGTTTTTTTGGTTGTTTCTTGACTTGCCAGTCGAGTATGGCCCAGA